TTCAGTCTACAGCAGTTTCCTACCTGTATAAATGGATCAAACGGGCCTGCTCTGCAAGATCAACAGGCTTTATTGATTAAAAAAGGAAGATGGATTTCACCTGATGATGTCATCCGTGCGCCGGCTACCATTCATTCATCCTGTCCGCTGAACTGCTGCTAGTTTTACTCACATGCCTGGAAGATGTCTAGTGCTGCTACCGCAGATGATCTCGCTCTCCAAATGGCATTGAACAATTCAGATTAGATTGCCGAATGAATAGAAGGGGTAGAGTGTAGCCGCCTGTGGCCCGGGCTGCCTGTTATGACTCCAGTACGGCGCGCGGATGACGTCATACACACGCCGCTTTGATTTTAAAAGATATAAATATAAAAAATATAACCGCAGATGTCTGGGGGACAGTGATTGGCCTCCATGTTCTGAATGCTGGCATACCATAAAGAACGAATTATGAACAGTTTAGTTTGTGCCTTCAAGTCGTTGCCCATAGGAAGACGTTACTGGATATAACCTAACGGAATATCTTCAGAACGGCTCCAAATGACACTAAACTCATACGGGTGAGTAGAACATGATGGAATAATGTAAAATCAAGGGCCCAATGTAAAAAAAAGGTTTTCCCCTTTAAGGTAACAAAGTATTTGTACTTTATTATATTAAATTATGCTGAATAATAAATATGAATATAGAATTGTGAAAAGCAGAGATCATAAAATTACATTGAAAATTAGTTGGTAAGCAAAAATGAAATGAAATGAAAGGTTAAAAAGATCTGAATGTGTCCTTTTTAATGTTTGGTTCAGCCTTTCTCCAATTACAGGTACTGAGGCTGGTAGTATAAGGGGTTATTTGCACTACGGTAGTGACAGTTACAAAAGAAGGAGTAAAAACACAACTTTGCAGAGGGGAGGTAGCCTGGTGAGACCATCCTGATCTCGCGAGCTTTCAAGGTTTCACTCGCAGATCAGTCTGGAGACTCTCCGTTGAAGAAAATTTGGAGCCGTTCACCAAACGAACGTCCAATCAGCGTTGGCTTTCAGGCGGGTTGAGGTGTGACGCAACGAGAAGCGCTACAGTTCAGTCTAAAGAACATGGCGGCTTCAGCCGATGAAACTAGCGTTAGCGTGGCTATCCAGCAAGTTTTATCGGAATTACAGTATTTCTTCACTGAAAGAAGAGCAAAACACTGCTCTGGAGGCTTTTCTCAGAGGAAAAGATGTTTTTGCTCTTCTCCAGACTGGTTTCAGCAAGAGTTTGATCTATCAATTGGCTCCTCTTCGTCGTCGCTCTGTTAGTACGTCATATGCTTCATTGATCTGATTGGTTTATTTGGCCCGTCTATCACCAACATAGGCCAATCAGCTAACCAGTATTTTCGCCCCTTCCCAAAATTACTTCTACGGAAGGTTTCCAGATGGATATGCGGAGCAAATCCATCTGGCGGAGTCAGGTTAGAGGGGAGGAGGGCTTGCAGGGAAATCTGAAATTCCTGGGACCTGCAGTACCAGCGGGCAGAACTGAAAAAAAAAAATCCTGGATAGGTGTCGAAACATTTTCAGAATGACTGAGTTATAGTGTGATTGCCTCAAATTTCAGGCTGTTTAGTGACTGATAATTAGCACATGCAAAATCCATGAGGATTACTTAGATATGCATAAATCAGGCTAAACACCACATTTGATATCATTTTGATAAAGGAATATTATTATTATGCAAGTAAAAGTTAAAAGTAGTGCAGGCAATGGTGCCAACTCCCTAAAAGGGTAAGAAAGATATAACTTCATAAAGCATGAAAACAAATGAAATTACTGACTAAAACTTCACATTTTTGAATCTGCTTATTGTACATCTTTCTTTCTGATGCTTGTTGTTGTTGACATGAATGCTCACAGCGTGCCTTACATTACTCGCCTAAGTATGAAACCAATTGTAAAAGTACTTGATAAAAACCTTTGATAACAAAAACAGCCATACATTGCAAATAATGAAATATTTTGATACAAACAAGATTCAGATGAGAGACAAAGAAATGGTAAAATTGATCTCATATGTAGATATAACCGAGAATCTATGCCACCATACAGCGCAGCTCTACATTAGCATATCTCATATGTACTTTATCACCTGATAAAAATGACCCTGATGTAAACTGGTTTGACAGCAATGCCACACATCAAGCAGCCAACTTTATCAGCTAAATGGAGTCTAAAATACTTGCAAAGACCAGAAGAATTCAACAACACTTTTGGAAAATGAACCCAATTTGTCTGGAAAATTACATCTCAGCTGCTGTTTATTTCATAGTGTGTTAAGAGTCATCCAGCCACCACTTATCTAAAACTTCTTATCTGCTTCCACCCTCTGGAAAGAAAAGGTGAAACAATCAGGGATTAACTCAATGTCATGGGAGCTTTGCCCCTGGGATAATGGGAAAGAATGACTGCTACACTGAAAGCAGAATAGACGCCAATTTTCAATCAGGAAGAGAGAATATAATGGAAAAGAGGTTCAGCAAACGGCTTAAGATACAAAGACTGCTTTGTGAATCTAAGCTTTCTGGACTTTGCTATACAGATATATATATATTTTTAAGCAATATCAATCACATCCATACTTTTCTTTTAAAACGTAAATGGAAGTATTTTTTTCTTGTTATCAGAAATATCTGACATCGTGGTTTCATTGGTTTTATTGCAATTTTTCTGTTTATGACACTGAAATTATAAATACAGATTTTTGACCATGAAGATGTTTGTACAGGTAGATTTTTACCCACCAGTTACATCGTTTTTTTATGTTTGTTTTTTCAGCTGAGCTTCAGGGATTATGGACGCAATATTTTTCCTTACAGAGAAACATTTCGGTTCTTTGCAGGTTTCATATTTCATAAAATGTGGTGTATTCTTAAACTCCCAGATGTTGTATAAGATTTTATTCCCACATATAGCTTAAATTATGCTAAATTAAACTATTAAACATATATTAGTGGTTTTGAGTTGGTTATTGACATGAAGAAGTTCCAAGAAAATTGATATTTGGTGAGAATCACCCATTTTGCCATTCTGTGCCCCTAATGTTGTTTTAAAATGTTTGCTTAGTAAAGTTGGAGTTTTTTATCATAATCATTTCTATACACAAAAAAAACTGTATTTCAATTCATCGTTAACATAGAAATGTTGCGGGTAGATAATCTATCAAACAGCCTGCAGTTTCACTTTCATGGATGATGCTCTTAAAAAAGGACATTAAATAGTTTGAAAAATGTTTGCTGTCAGAGAAAATGATTCCAAGTGGTGGAAAAAAAAACTGACAGCTGAGTTAAAATCTTTGATAAATTGACAGAATGTGGAAATGTGGGTTTAAAGACATGTCATGCTCCAGAAGTGAGAAATGTTTAGTGATAAGGATTTGCTTTGATAATATTTTAGTGAAAAGTTTCCTTGTAGAGTAAATATGACATATTTTTAATGTACACAGAGAGTTACAGTAGAAGCCATTTAAAATGTCCCCACTTTCCTTGATGGGCCCTTGGCCGGTCCTTTGCTTCTCCCCTAGAATTCCTTTTTAAACGTCTAAAATATTCTTTCTGTCATGATTTGTGGACATTAAGATCTAAAGAGAAGTTTTATCTCCTAGTCAGACGTTGTAATTCAGTGAAAGGGTGGAGTCAAAGTAAAAAATATGCACACCCAGCAGACGGTCAGTGGCTGGAATTTAGAGGGGATTTTCCTGCCGTTCGGCTGCCTTTTGACTGGGAAGGGTCATTTGATATGGCTGCTACTGTAAAATGCCACTTTGAAAAAAAGAATGTCTAATTTGATCAATCAAGTATTATAATGTTATATCTTTGCAAGCCAATAAAAAAATAAAAAAAACAAAATATTAGAGAAAAGATTATCAATTATAGCCGTTACTGAAATATTGTGTAGTTTTACACACTTTCATTTCAGTCATTGTGTGGCTTCTATAGAGACAGTACATTTTTAACATGATATCTATTAAATTTGTCCACAGTTGCAATTGTGTTGCTTGGCTAAAAATTTGCCCACTTATTTGGCAAATTTTGCTCAAACACAGTAATTGATCATCAAGAATGGGATGAGAACCTAAACTGGAAACTGATGCCAGAAATGTCAATACTAGATTTAAAATCTGAAATCATGTTGCAAGTTACACCTCAAGGTATGTCAGGTTACAGCCATTATAGTTTCATTCTTTTTATAGTTTTATGTGTTAAAAAGTCATGGCATAATAAAGGTATAAAAAAATCAAATGAAATCAAAGTTTATTAATATATCATTTTACAACAACACCAGGAAGACCAAAGTGCTTCACAGAATGATAAAAACATTGCAAAAACAAAAATCACATATATAAATTATTAAATTTTTCATAAAATAAGTGATTTTTTTCTTGAATTGAGAAGGTAAGCGTGACCCTTGCCAATGGAAAAAGACAATTTACATTTTAAATAAGAAAAAAACAATTTCATTGTCTTATTTCAAGTGCTTATCAAATATCTTATTTAACAACTAAAATTAAGGGTAAATAATTAATTTGAGACATTTTTACTTATTTCTAAATAGTTCTGCAGTGATGTCCTGGTAGCTTTGTCAAAAAGTGACAATAGTGACCATTCTGTGGCACAGACGTGTGAAAATAAGGTATTCCTCCTCTTGCACGGGTGACTTTATTCAATCAAAGGCATGAGAGGCTACAGTATATCTGTTTTAACTGAGCACAGTGTGGACCAAGATAAATGAACACACTCTGAGACCCAGCGGGCCTCCATGGGCAGATCCCATGTAACCCTTACCCACCAACACATTGCAAACCACCTCCCATGCCAAATGAGGGACCTGCCAAAAGACAGCCTGACAATCCAGCATCCCCGAAGAGCTGAGCAACCACAATCATGCCCAAATACTCCAACCACCATCTGCCAACGAAGCTATGCTAAACATGATTGTTGCTAATGCCATTAACACATTCATACTCACAGGAGCAAGCGTTTGCTGTCTGATCAGGTCAGGTATCCAAACACATTCTGATTCATTTGATGAATATGTCCAGGTCCTCCTTGCATCCTCCTGGTTATTGCCACCTCGTTTGGGGTTTTCCGGTCGCTTGAAAACGAAAGACAGAAGCAAATTAGAATCTTTGAAGCCCCAGCATTTATCTTACAAAGTATTAAACACAGATGGGTGTGTTCATCATCAGATAGCATCTGATATTACTGGAAATGGAACATCAAATATTGAAAGTGCACTTAAGAGTCCAAGATGAAACAGAATAGCACCTCTTCAGTGCACTTTGTTTTTCACATTCTTCATTTTCTTTGATTTAAGACTCCAGTAGTAAAGGTCTGTTTGAGGAAAATACGTAGAGGTCAAGCAGGAGAAGATTTACATGCATATCAAAGGAATCTATCCTGACAACATCTGAACACTTTTAAAAGGAGGAAATCATGATTTGTGCCGAAAACAAACAGTGTTAACACATCCCCTCATTAAAATGCTGTGACCATGTCAGAGCACATGTCCTCCCAGAAACCCTCTCCTGCTTTTCATCCTAATGAGAGAAGATAAAAGTGCGCAGAGGCAGAGATAGACAGGACAGGGTTTTAATAATATTTATTTGGGAGAAAACTGAATGTTCTGGCTTCAGGCTGAGCTGTCCAAGGTGAGTAAACAAAAGCGTTCTCCCTTTGCAATTAGTGCTATCTTTGTTGAATAATACACTGCTTTCTAAAAGCAAGGCTTTTCTTAACACCTCCACTTGCCATACGTCTAAAACAGGAACATAAACCATATGCATCTTTATGCAATAGATGAAGTGGAAATATAACACTGTAATTAGATTGTCAAGGTATCATAATGGATAAAGCATGTATAAAAAGATTGATCAATAGAAATGTTTGATATCAATTTAAAATTTTTAAAAGGGTAAACCTCACAGCATTGATAATGACGACCAGCAAATGTTCTTATTAACTTAAATAATAAAGAACTATCATGTTTATCTTTGTCTACAGAAAAATTATTAATCATCATAACCCTCAATCAGGCATAATTTTAATTCACTAATGCTACCTTCAGACATAGCAGCAAAAATGAGCGTCTGCTTCATTTTTTATGCTTGTACAATTTTAGTTCTGACATGTAGCCGAAGCATCTCTGCTGCTCTAGCTGCTCAGTCAAAAAGTGGGTCTGATGCTCGTTGGGCGGAGCTACCCTAACCTTTCTTTGCCTGGAACAATGGCGGATGAAATCGAGGTCAGACGTCCAGTAAAGTGAGTCCAGATGCGTCTGATGCTTCTGCTGCTCCTCTGTTCAGTGGCAGAGAGCGGCTTTGCTATATTTTCTTTTAAAAGTGGATAAAAAGTAATTTTAATGTGTAATAAACCATCTGAAAACTTCATCTGGGCAGTCAGTTTATTAAGATTACCATCCTGCCTTCAAATAGTATTTTTTTGAGAAATAAAATCAAACACATTTTACCGTCAGTTTTCGACATTTTAAGTTAGTTTATGTGTTCGTAAACTGTTTCAGAGGAGTGATCATGGCGCTCTGCATCAGCAGCTCTGTCTCTATCTCCCTGTCAGCTCCCAGATCAGCTTCTCTGATTGGATGATGTAGGCGGTGGCCTGGGGCCCCATAAAACTCCTTTTACATTTATGGTTAATACAGCTATTCCTTATTTGTGCACATTAATTATGTTTTTGATAAAAATCCTTTGGCTAAAATGCCATCAGAATGCTGATAATATTATGCGTGTCTTGTCCCCCCCCCTTCGGTGTCCACCATATTGGATCAGTCCATTTGCTGCACATGTTCAGAAAGGTCCAAACAGACAGCAGCAAACCATTTGAAAACAAACCATGCAAAGAGCAGTGTTGCCAACTTAGCGCTTTAGTCGCTATATTTAGCCACTTTTCAGACCCCTCTAGCACTTTGATTTCTAAAAAGCTCCTAGCGCCAAATCTAGAGACTTTTTTCTGCTACTGGAGACTTTGGAGACAACATCTAAAAGCAGCGAACTCTGCTCTCCAGAGCGAGTAGATTGGTAACCCCGCCTCCTGCTCTCCTCTATCTTGTCTGCTGTCATGATTCGTGCAGCTATTATTTCATCCAAATGAAAAATGGAGAACAGATAAGCAGATCATGGCTGCAGGACCTTTTGCTTCACCTTTGAACCTCAACCTTTGACTTTGCATGTAAACTAGCTGCTTCTGCTGCCTCTAGTGCGTGCGGTCTGAACGTAGCATAAGACATACCCCTCCATAGTTAGTCATCCTGTCATCCTGCCACCAGCTTCAAGCATTGCTAATGTTAGTGCCTTGAAACAAACTAATAAAGGTTTAGCCCAAACTGGACTCCACAAAGCACCCCACAACCTCCAGTGTTGAGAGAGGTGAAAACTCTTCCACCTCAAAATATCTATCCAAGCTGTATCAACCAGCGTCTCCCAGATTACTCTCTATGCTTCAATGTTGCTAAGATAGGGGAGGCTACTGTTGCTGCCATCAGACCATGGTTGCCACCTTGTTGCATTACCCTCCTCCCTGCTCTCTTGTGAAGTAGAACCGCCATCCTGGTCTGCCATAGAGACTGACATTTTTTCGGGAATCCCATGGGTCACGGGATTCCCGTGGGATTCCCGTGGGATTCCCGTGGGATGGGAGTCAGTATTAGTAACGATCACGGGATTGGGACGGTACAGGATTAAACATTAACGGGAGCAGATGGGAGCGGGAGCAAACCAATAGTAACTTCCGCTCTGAGTTTTTCACCCGCGCTCAAAACCAACAAGAATGGGAGTGGTGCAGGAGCGGGAGTCATTCTGAATCGGAGCGGGATGGGAGTGGGAGTAATTTCACCAGGAGTGGGACGGGACAGGATTTAGATTTCTACTCTGGCCCGGGATCGGGACGGGACACCATTTTTTTCTGTGGGAGTGGGACGGGACAGGAGTGAAAATCCACTCCCGTGTCAGTCTCTGCCAGTCCCTCAGCAGCACGCCAACCACGAGAGCCAAGCAACATTTAGAGAAATCAAATACTCAGGGCTTCGCTCTTCTACCCCTGAAGCCTTCACACCTTTTTTTTTGACCAACTAAGTGTATCCATCCAACTGAAACTTCAAAAGAACTTTTAAATTTAAAATAAAAAGAGAATGCGATTTTGCAGTGTTTCCATTTGGTTTAAAACAATTTAACAACACACCAAAAAGCATAATCCAATCATATGTCGTTGTCCCCATTATGTAGGGGTACTAAACAGGAAGTAGAGGCTGCAATCCAGCACTGAGCACAGATCAGTGGAGGAGAAATGTTTAAATGAAGGCATTGCTATGTGATGGCAACGTTGCGTCCAGCCATCCGACAGCAGTCAAGGAGAAAATGCAAGCAGAGGTCATCGCCGCAGGCTTATCCAAGAGGAGCATGTACTGACTGCATGCTATCAACTAGTTATCCTAACCAATCTGATAGTCCTTTCTCTAGAAAGTGCCTTGAGTGTTAAGAATGGGGCTATATATATAAACTGAATTGAATTTAAAATTTTGTAGTAACAGAATAAAAAACTTAGTAATACACCTTATGTCAAAAATGATTGATGACTAATGACCTGACCTTATGACCTTTTGACCTCCCCCCTCCCCCCTTCCGGTCCCCTCCCCCCACAAATGATTTATGACCTATGACCTTATGACCTTACCCCTCCCCCAAATGATTTATGACCCACCCCTCCCCCACAAATGATTTATGACCCACCCCTCCCCCCACAAATGATTTATGACACCCCACCCCTCCCCCCTTCCGGTCCCATCCCCCATCCTTCTGGATCCCCCAAGATTTATGACCTTACCCCTCCCCATTCCGTTCCCCATCCCCCATCCTTCCGGATCCCCAAGATTTATGACTCCATCACCCACCCTCCTTCCCTAAGCTAACCAATGAAAATAGGAGGGCGGAATTATGTCCTCTTTAAATATTGCTGGGGAGAAAAGTTTTTGTATTTTCAGCAAGAGAAAAACACTTACATTCCTACCGACAATGTCAAGAATTCCGAGAGCTATTCTTAAAAGCAGAGAATTACGCTCTGCATTGGAAAAAGAATCGGCTTTACCTGAGCAGCTTGAAGTAGGTGTAAAGAACGAGATCCGTTTTTCCGCCTGCAAAGAAATGGAGGACGCGATGGGAGAATTCGGGATCGAACCTTTGGTGAAAGATGCTTCAACTTCGACAACCCTGGACGCAATGGAAGACTCTGAGTCCGCGCTGTCTGTGAAAGATGCTTCAACTTCGACAACCCTGGATGCTATGGAAGACTCTGAGACTGCGCTGTCTGTGAAAGATGCTTCAACTTCATCGACCCCGGACTTATGAACTATGAACTCTATGACCCACACCTGATCAGAGGAATTTCTTATAACCCTTTTATGACCCGTAAATTTCTGCACAGTCACGCACCATCACATTTTTGCTTCATCAATCAAATTCTTGTCTATAAACATTGTTTTCTTCCCATTCAAAAAGATATGCCAGCTTCTCATCTGCCTTTCTTCTTTGCAGGGTAATAAAAAAGACAGTCCCCCACACAAGGAATTTCCCTCCCACCACCCATCCCATACACACGCACACACACTGAGCCCACAGACCCCCCAGCCTTTTCCCTCATAAGACAACAACTACACATTTTCCTAAAATTAGGCTTAAACATGTGTTTAAACTATTCCATTTCCACTAACAAATCTTATTTTATTTTAAATACAGATGTCCTTTCAGCAAGCCTCTGTTTTACTTTCTTAAACGGATTTACTCTCACAGATCAAGCTTTCTTTTGTGTAAAGACCATTGTTTAATTCATCATTAAAGTCTGTGTTACTCGCAAAATCACAAACACAACTTGAATTGCTAACAAGTTTCCTTTTTTAAATCAATCCAACTAACTTTTCTATCCACAAAAAAACCTGCTTTCATCAAGCATCCCAATCTTCAGCCCTCAGCTCAGCTCAACATTACCACCAACCAAGCTGTAAAACATTTGTCGGGTCCATTCCCGTGCTGTAAAAAGACAGTTTAAAAACTCACACCCCCAGAACTTTAATTTTAAAAACAGACACCC